CCCTTCCAACTCTGTTATTCTGTTACACATATCATCTTGGATAAGGGGTCTGGAGGCTAAACCGTAAGATGAAAAGTTGCAGGAACTGGGTATGTCTAGCGTAATGAAGAGAAGAATTAGGGGTATATAATAGCAGTCTTGAAGGGTTGCCACAGAGAAGAGGGGGTCAGCCTAGTCTTCAAAGAATGAGTGGAAACTAACCAAGGAGAGAAGCAACCTAGAATTAAAGGAGAAATTTCCTGACAGTGAAAAAAGATATTTGTAAAGTGATAGATTTTAAAATTTAAGTTTTGCTGGCCGGCCTTGTGGCTAATAGGAATTGAAAAATGTTAGTTTAGTTCGTGTCTGGTTCGTACACACTGAACGCATTTCCCAAGATCAATATATCCATCCTTCATGCCTCAGATTTGTGCACTTTGGAGACTTTTGAACAACTTCCAATAAAAACCCATACCAATATATATATATATATATACACCCTGCCCATACTTCCAAGCCAGAAGCCCACGTTGTAGGCAAATTGTGCAGAATGATAGCAAATGGCTTGGAGAATCCGTATACAGTATTAAGCAAGATTGACTCGGAATGAATGAGCATTATTTAATCAAGCCAACAGATGAAAAAGTGCATCTGAAAAGCTTATTTACTGGGGGGAAACGATGTTTAAAAATGCAAAGCGATTTTAATGGGAGTTTTATTTCTTTGTTTTAAAATAACCACAAATGCGTGCAGGAGCCAGCTAATATGAACTTAAAGGTGGAGGAAGGAGGGAGTAAAAGAGAGAAAAGTTAAATTAATAGACGTGTGTAAACTCCTTGCTGGCTTCCAAGGAGTCACTGTGTAAAATGTGTGTAAAAGCAGGGAGTAGAAGCTTTGTGGCAACAGCCTAATAAAATAGTCCTCGACTTTCAACAGTGTAGTCAAAGACCTAGGACCTTTTTTTCACACTTACGACTGTCACAGTATCCCCATTGATCAGTATAAGCTGATCAAAATTCAGAGGCTTGGCAACAGATTCACATTTATGACTGTTGTGGTGTGTCCCAGGGTCACGCGATCCCCTTTGGCGGCCTGTCAAGCAAAGTCAATTGGTAAACTAGATTCACTTAGTGACTTAACAACTGCAGCGATTCACATAACAGCTGTGCCGAGAAAGGTCGTAAAACGGGGCAAAATCCACTTTAACGGCTGTCCCGCTTAGCAACGGACCTTTTGCGCTGAATTGGGGGTCGTAACTGCGAGGAGGGATACCTCTACTGAATCACTGCTTTTTAACAAACTCAACCCGCGCCGAAAGCCACCGGAAGTGGAACATATGGCGGATCGGGACGTATTACTGAGTGTCAAAACCTCTGATCAACAGTTGGCTTGCTGTGGATTCCATTGTTAACAACACAAAGCATGAGGGTTAAGAGACCAAGGCTTTGTTCTCCTTGTGGCTTTGCCAGATCCCCGGTTGTCGCATAAAGTTGTCGTTCTTTATCGCCCGGGCGCCCTCCGCCTGCTGGGCTTGGCAACCAGAGAAGGAAAGAGACAGATGGGTCTGAAGATCTACCAGCTGCCGGCTCCCATTCAAAACCCAATTCCCCCCCCCTTTTTTTTTATTTGGTTGCTCCCCCTGGCTCTTGATGCAATAATCTCTTAATAACACGAATTCCAGAATTGCTGCTAGGTTAAAAATCCCAAAGTGAAGGGGAGGGGAGGGGAGGGAAGGAGAGAGAGAGAGGGAAATGAAAGGATGGGAAGAAGGGAAGGAAAGGGAAGGGAAGGGAAGGGAAGGAAAGGAAGAAGGATAGGGAAGCGAAGGGAAGGAATGGAAAGGAAGAAGGATAGGGAAGGGAAGGAATGGAGAAAAAAAGGAAAGGAAAGAGAGAAGGGAAGGGAAGGGAAGGAAGAAGATGAAGGAAGGAAGGAGAGGAAAGGGAAGGAGGCAGAAAGAGAGAGAAAAGGGAAAGGAAAGAATGGAGGAATGAAGGAAAGGAAAACAAGACGAAGGAGGAAAGAGATGAAGGAAGAGGAAGGAAAGAAGAATGGCCAGGTGTAAACCAACAAAGAAATACAAAATCTCTGAAGCCCAACTAAAATTTTCCTTTCCCCCCTTCCCTCCCTCCCTTCCCCTTCCCCTCCCCCCCTTCTTCCATGCAAGCCCTCCAACCCTCTACCCAAAGTTTAAAGCGTGAGCAGAATCCACAACTTTAAAACAAATCGTAAGGCCGAACGCTGTCCATCATCTTGCATACAAACAGATGCACCAACAACAGTCTCTTCTGCACAGGCATGCACAGCCAAGGGAGGTGGACGGGGGGTGGGTGGGGGGGAGAGATGAGCTTAAGTGATGCTCAGATGCTCGGAAAAATCAAAATTAACCCGGAGGGAGAGAAGACCAAAGCAGGCCGAAGAAGCAGTGGAGCAAACAAGGCTGGGTCTTGGACTCCGATTACAGCATCATTTTTTTTCTGCTGATTCATGGCAACCCCAAGCCACCCCTCGCTTGCCAGGGAGTTGCCACGGATGACTTTGGAGCCAAGCAGCCTTTGCGTTGGGAAGCAATCAAAAGAGAAAGGAAGAAGAAAAAAAACCAAACCAGCCCTGAGGTCTGGGAAAGAGCAGCCGATCGATCGCCCCGGAGAAGTACGAAGAGAGGCAGAAATTTCAGACATTTGAAACCTCCCGTTGCTTAATTTAACTCAGCAGGGTCTTGGCTGTGCCAACTCTATTTCCTTCGGCTTCCTCCAAGGAGACAGGTGCAATCAGGTGAAGGGCACCTCACTCGGGAGGAAATTAATCCACCGATTTAGAGTCGGGTCCTGAAGGAGAAGAGCAGGCTGAACTGGAAGGTGGGGTTAAATGGGTCGTCAGTTTGGAATCGTTCCGTTGTCACCAAAGACCAAGTCCAGCCTCCCCTTGAATTCCGTTGTCCCTTATCTGGTGGCAATTCAGCTTTGACTGTTGACCAGATTCTCATTAGAGTAGAGTAGAGTAGAGTAGAGTAGAGTAGAGTAGAGTAGAGTAGAGTAGAGTAGAGTAGAGTAGAGTAGAGTAGAGTAGAGTAGAGTAGAGTAGAGTAGAGTAGAGTAGAGCAGAAGAATAGAACAGAATAGAGTAGAACAGAATGCAGAGAGTAGAGTAGAGTAGAGTAGAGTAGAGTAGAGTAGAGTAGAGTAGAGTAGAGTAGAGTAGAGTAGAGTAGAGTAGAGTAGAGTAGAGTAGAGTAGAGTAGAGTAGAGATGCTCCTGTGATTTCAACCTGACAGGTTTTAGGCTATCTCTTTATCCTGTTTATAACCCATTTCGTGCATTTGTGCAGCTTGTTCCGGGCAAGGCTACATCTCGGCTCTATCAAAACAATTTCTAAAATAAAAAGAAGTGGGGGACAGGAAGAGGGAAAAGACCCCCCTTTTTTAAATCCCCGAACTGCTCCTTTTTCATGCTGGCAAGGCTGGCCTGCCTTTATCCAATATCTGGTTCTTCTTATTTGATCATCTCTGCGCTCTGTGTTTTCCCACTTACTGGCTATTAGCAGTAATCACTCTAAATTAATTAAGGCAGCTCCCTCCCTCGAAATCTGTGAATGGAATTGAAATTAATTGTCGGCAAATATCTTCGCTTCACTAGGAATTCCTGCCCGATCTTTTGTGGGTTATCAATTTATGCCTGGGAGGGAGACGTTTAATTATCTTCCAATGTTATATATGGGGTGCTGGGTCTCAGCCTGCTTTTGCTCAAATTTGATTCTGTGGAAGGATGCGGAAAGTGTGTTTGGGGGGGGGAATCCTTTAATCCCAGTCTCCTTCTCCCCCCCCCTTTAAATTTAAGCCTATTCTTCAAAGCACCCAAGGGCAGGACAAGAAGTAATGCATGGAAACTTATCAGGCAGAGTACTGCACGTGCGATACTGTACGTGTGGTAGTGTACGTGCGGTACCGTATGTGCGGTACGTGCGGTACTGTATGTGCGGTACATGTACTGTTATGTGCGGTACTGTACGTGCGGTACATGCGGTAGTGTACGTGCGGTACTGTACGTGCGGTACCATACATGCGATACGTGCGGTACTGTACGTGCAGTACGGTACATGCAGTACTGTACGTGTGATAGTGTACATGCAGTAGTATACGTGCGGTACTGTATGTGTAGTACTGTACGTGCGGTACGTGCAGTACGGTACATGTGGTACTGTACGTGTGGTACTGTACGTGCGGTACGTGCAGTACCGTACGTGCGATACGGTACGTGCAGTACTGTACGTGCGATACTGTACGTGCTGAGGGAGAGGGCAGGAAAAAAAGCCACGAGATATGTAAAACTAGAAAATCAATAAAACATTTTTTTTAAAAAAAGGGAACCCCAAACGTCTAAATATACACACCAAATTGTAACCCGTCGTAAATCCAGCTTGACCGATGGACGTGAGACCATGAGCAATAAAATGAGCAACGGAGAACTGGATGGGAGACGTACCTCTTTGGCTACGAAACAATGGACAGGATGAGTAGTCCTTTCTAGGAGATAATTGTATTTGGGTTCTTGCAAACCCACAAGGGAGCCCCAAATTTAACTCCGCAACTTTAACATTCGTTAAGTGAGTTTTGCCCCGTTCTTACGACTTTTCTTGCCACTGTTGTTAAGTTGCAGTTGTTAAATTAGTCTCCACCGTTGTTACGTGAATCTGGACTTGGCTTGTCAGAAGTTTACCAAAGGGGATCACGTGATCCTCCCCCCCCGGGACTCTGCGACCATCGTAAATAGGAGTCAGAAGCATGCGAATTTTGATCACGTGGCCCTGGGGATGCTGCCACGGTCGTTAAGGGTGAAAAGCGGTCGTACGTCACTTTGTGACAAACCCACACACTCTCCAGGAAAAACCTCTGGTGCCCAAAAGGTTGGACTAGAAGACCCCTGAGGTCTCTTCCCACCCTATTGTTCCATGTCCGAAGCTCTTCCGATCTCTCCTTCCTTCTCCTCCTCTCATTCTCGTCTTTCTCCTTCTTCTTTTTCCAGGAAAACCCATACTTGTGTAGCGACGAGTGCGATGCTTCCAATCCGGACCTGGCCCACCCTCCCAAGCTGATGTTCGACAAAGAAGACGAAGGCCTGGCCACCTACTGGCAGAGCGTAACCTGGAGCCGTTACCCGAAGCCTCTGTTGGCCAACATCACGTTGTCTTGGAACAAGAGCGTTGAGTTAACCAACGATGTCGTCTTGACTTTTGAGTACGGCCGTCCCACCAAAATGATCTTGGAGAAGTCCGTGGACAACGGGAGGACTTGGCACCCCTACCAGTACTATGCGGATGAGTGCAACGAGGCGTTCGGCATGCCGGCACGGAAGGTGAGGGAGCTGTCCACCACCAGCGTCAACAGGGTCATCTGCACGGAGGAATACTCTCGTTGGGTGGGGTCCAAGAAAGAAAAGGAGGCGAGATTCGAGGTGAAGGACCGCTTTGCCATTTTTGCCGGGCCTGAACTTCGAAACATGGACAATCTTTACACCAGGCTGGAGAGCGCCAAGGGCCTTAAGGATTTCTTCACCGTGACGGACTTGAGGATACGGCTCTTGAAACCGGCGCTGGGAGGCACCTACGTCCAGAGGGAGAACTTGTACAAATACTTCTACGCGATCTCCAATATTGAAGTCACAGGCAGGTAATCGGAGTTCGGCTTTCCTTTTTGGGTTTTTTTTTTTCATTCTTTCGTCGCTGGCATCCGGGATCGAGAAGCAAAGGTGCCAAGGTGTGTCTTGTTGGTTCAGAACCACCAAACGGTTTCAGGGTTTTAAGGCGGGTTATGTTTCTTTGGTATCTTTTGCTTTAAACAACCCCCCCCCAAAACCCTACCCCCTTTTATTTGGTGGAAAAGAAATTGCTTTTGGTTGCTTTTTTTTTTTTTGCTAAAACAAACAAACATTTTGATGAAATTCTCCAGAGTGGAATGAAATGTTCTTATACGTACTTAGTGACAAGAAAGCCAAGAGGTGAATATGAATGACTGTTCTTTTGTTTGCAATCTTTTCCTTTGAGTTCCCCGGTTCAGTCTCCCTCCCTTCCTTCCTTCCTTCCTTCCTTCCTTCCTTCCTTCCTTCCTTCCTTCCCCTTCCCTTCCCTTCCCTTCCCTTCCCTTCTCTCAACCCTCCTTTTTTCTCTCTTTTTTCTTCCTTCCTTCCTTCCTTTCCTTTCCTCTCAACCCTCCTTCCTTCTCTAGTCTTTTTTCTTCCTTCCTTCCTTCCCTCCCTCCCACCTTCCCTTTTCTCAACCCTCCTTCCTTCTGTCTTCTTCCTTCCTTCCTTCCTTCCTTCCTTCCTTCCCTTCCCCTTCCCCTTCCCCTTCCTCTCAACCCTCCTTCCTTCTCTATTCTTTTTTCTTCCTTTCTTCCTTCTCTTCCTCCCTCCCTTTCCCCCCCTTGGAAAAATTCTCTTCTCCCTTGCAAGAAATGTCAAAACCAATTCTCTTTCCCCAAACAACATGAGAGCGGCAAAAAAACGACGCCAGACAATTGTTCTGCTGGTCACGAGCAAAAGTTTGCAGATTGTGAGTCTCTCCTTTAAAGGACAGGTTATTTTTATTCCTCCTTCCGTCTCTCCTCCGATGCTAGCCCTTCCGTCCTGCCCCTATTGATCCAACAAGTAACAAAAGGAGGTGCCAGGCCCGGGACAGGAATAGAAACCTGAAAGTCTGTCTTTGGTGAGCAAGGGCTGGCACGTCACAGCAGAATGGAGGAATCCGAGGTGGTAGGAAGGAAAAACTAGTTTTACGGGATTGCTCCAGGTATGGGAGAGGAAGGAAAGAAAAGAAGGAAGGAAGGAAGGAAGGAAGGAAGGAAGGAAGGAAGGAAGGAAGGAAGGAAGGAAGGAAGGAAGGAGAATGAGAGAGAGAGAAAGAGGAAGGAAGGAAGGAAGGAAGGAAGGAAGGAAGGAAGGAAGGAAAGAAGAAGAAAAGGAGAATGAGAGAGAAAGAGGAAGGAAGGAAGGAAGGAAGGAAGGAAGGAAGGAAGGAAGGAAGGAAGATCTTTTCAATCTCATTTCTTCTCACTTTGCATATGGAGCGCCTGCACACGAAGCAGGAAAGATCAGAATAGACATCCTCCCTGGTCAATTTAATTTTCTCCTTTATTTAACAGCTGGCAGATCTTGAAGTTGCCTGGATAGACAGAGTGAAATTGGAGTTAATGGCATGGGCATGAGCTGAAGGCTCCCATTATGTACAATCCAATTAAGGAGATGCATATAAATTACAGACTAATTATTAAGCTTTCTCACTATGCCTAAAAGTATTTGCATGTTCTCTGTACCTTGGAATGTTTCCCTTCTTCGTTTAATTTCCTTCCTTCCTTCCTTCTCTTTCTCCTTCCTTCTCTTTTTCCTTCCTCCCTCCCTCCTTCCCTTGCTCCATACCGGTTGGGGAATTCTGGGAGTCGACGTCCACACATTTTAAGGATGCTAGTAGTAGGAACATGTGGCAGCCTACATGTGGCATCATTTGCTACGAGGCTGGCACGGCAGAATAGCCTTCAAGGATTGATTTTTGAAGATCAATCGCTTCCCATAAATAGATTTATCGTAGAGCGTGTTTGAAAACCTTCCCATAACTGCTGTGAATTAAACGCGGGCTCTATTTATAGTGAGATCAAGGTTCAGATTTTCACGCTGCTATCTTCTGCTCACGTGATGAAGCGGGCTGGACGCCAATCTCCTTTGGGTGGGCACAACGGTTTCCATCTGTCTCTTGCTTTGATAGTGGACTGGCTTGGTATTATGCTTTTTTTACTTTGGACCATGGGAAAGCAAGCTCTCACAAATTCAGGACAGGAAAAAGAGGGAGGGAGGGAGGGAGGGAGGAAGGAAGTTAGGAAGGAAGGATTTGACCTAGTAAAAAGAATAAGGAAAGAAAAACAATTGGGGTGAGATAAGGGAATCCACCAGGGAAAAAACGAAAATATGTCCAGGAATGTGTTCATTTGTACAGTGCTTGGTGCTCTCTGAGCTTGGTTGTCTTCTGCAGATGTTTCATGACCCAACTAGGTAACATTATCAGTGCTACAAGGGAGTGGGTTGGAGGAGGAGGAGGAGGAGGAGGAGGAGGAGGAGGAGGACGAGGACTGAGGTCCTTGGTGCTCTCTAAGCTTGATGGTTTTCTTGCAGACGTTTCATGACCCAACTAGGTAACCTCATCAGTGCTGGCGAGCGTGGCGTTTGCTCCCTGTTTATATATAGTAGCTTCTCCTTTCAGTCTTGGTGAAGGTGTGGTTCCCTTCTTGATAATCCCTTGCTTAGGATATTGTTTTTTTTCTCTTTGATCATTTGTCTGGTGTTAATCCCTGCTTGTCTGGATATTGGGTGCTGGGTGCTGATTGAACGACAGATGAATCAATCATTTACTTTACCGTTTAGCCTTCTAATCTAACAAAGAGAAGGACTAGGGGTGACACAATAGCAGTCTTCCAATATCTGAGGGGTGGTCACAGAGAAAAGAGGGTAGACCGATTCTACAAAGAACCCAAAGGCAGGACAAGAAGCAACGGATGGAAACTAATCCAGGAGAGAAGCAACTTAGAACTAAGGAGAAATTTCCTGACAGTGAGAACAATCAACCAATGGAACGGCTTGCCTCCAGAAGTTGTGGGTGCTCCATCACTGGAAATTTTCGAGAAGAAACTGGACAGCCATTTGTCCTGAATTGTAGAGGGTCTCCTGCTTGAGCAAGGGGTTGGACTAGAAGACCTCCAAGGTCCCTTCCAACTCTATCATCCTGTATTCTCCAGCTGAACAGCCCCAAACCTTAGATGTGTCCTCAGTTCCCCAGTCCGGCTTCGTCGCCCTGCTTTGAATGGCTTCTAAATGACCAGCTCTCCTCCTTAATGTGCAATAATCCGAACGTGACCCGTTTCTCCAGATGTGACTTGATGGAAACGAGAGGGGCTGCCCAGATGTTAAGCGACAAGTCCCAAATCTTATTAAGATTCTGAAACGAGCCTTAGTTTGAACCGTGACGGGGGGGAAAAGAAAGGAAAAGAAAAATGAGTTAATATTTTATCTCTTATACACCCTGGAAAACACAGAGTCGTTTTGTTTCATCTTATTTGCTGGGTATGTGTGATAATTCCTCTCTCCCCCCCCCCCGGTGTAATCTTTGCTACCGATCTGTCGGGAACAATCGATTATACTTTGTTCTCGGAACCGGGCCCGTAAAGCAAAATACGGATAGGTTGCAAAGGGATCAGCTTTGAGTGTTAACAGACCCCCGTGCAAGGGCTTGCAAGCGGTTCCGCCAGGAATAGCCTGATGGTTACTTAAATATGCATTGATTATTTGATTTGGAACAGCAATTATCTGGGTAAGAGGCGGGTGACTCCAAAGGAACTTGTCAAGTCCAGGGAGATAATGGAACAGCTGAACAAGGGGACAGCTCAATGAGATGGAAAGAAATCGGTTAAGGGAGGGAGGGGGGAGGGACATCCAGACCGACTTTCTCGGATCGTGCATGCTTCACGCAAGCTCCAGATTAGGGATGCTTGAGCTGAAATTAAGGAGGCCAGACCGAAGGCAAGAGAAGGCAGAACTTCATTCAGGAGTACAGTACAGGGCTGACAGTTCCAGCTGGAGATGATCAACTGAGATGGGGTCAATGGTAGCAGTCAACAACATTGGAACTGGATTTGGGGGCTACAGCCTTTGTTGGCTGGGATGTGGCGTCCAAATTCCACGATATGGGGTGGCCGGTACAGTGTGATCAATTCAATCTTGGTTCTCTTAAGATCTCATGAGGTTTTGGACCTCACACTTGATTGTCATTCCAGTTTAAAGTTCCTTAAATTCGTCCATTGGTCCATCCATCCATCCCATTCATCTTCTCATCATCTGTCTGTATGTCCATCCGTCCGTCCATCCATCCATCCATCCATCCATCCATCCATCCATCCATCCATCCATCCATCCATCTATCTATCTATCTATCTATCTATCTATCTATCTATCTATCTATCTATCTATCTATCTATCTATCTGTCATCCATCCATTCCAAACCATTCCCATTTTCTGACAGTTTTCAATGTTTTGTGTCCTTCAAGGGACTGTGTTGACCTCATCAACTTATCAAGGTTAACGAAAGACCTAGAGACTATATTTCTTCCATCTGCAAGGCTTTTGTCTCTCTTAGTTGGTTTCCTTGTGGGTCAGCATGTCATTGGTTCAAACGGTCCAAACAAAGTTGTTTGTATGTGTTTCTCTTTACACCGTTTCTTGGAAATACAGTAAAACTTAGATTTTTCCAGATTCAGCAGACTTTGGATGTGATGGATGTGATTTTTAGTTTGGAATTAAATCCCAAACAGGCAAAGTCCGTTGTCCACAAAACAATCTGGTAACACTGACATGGTTGTTCTCATCTATATAAATGTACATCATTTGCATAACTATGCAATGACTTAATTAAATATTTTGTGTAATTAGAAAACAGACATAAACATGTCAATCGTGTAATTACAAAATGGTGCAATTTTTGCAAATGGCATACATTTTGACAATCCTCCCGCCCCAAATTGTTGATTAAAGAAAGATTTCATTGAATTTCTATACATTTCGTCTTCTGTGGATCACCTGTTTCTCCTCTTGTTTTGAGCGTTTCTCGGGATTTTGACCCCCATTGTGGCGACATCAATTTGCTGTTCCTATAATTTGCTGTTAATGAATTTGCTGTTAATGAATTATTTGCTTGCCTGCCTAACCTTTTAGAGAACAGCTTACTGACTTTCTTCTTTAGTTTAAATCTGGCTGTCTAGGAAGGCATGAAATTGTGACATCCACTCCACACACACACACACACACACACATACCTGTCCCCCAAAAACACAATTTCAAGGATACATGTAGCTATTTCAAACATGGCTGATCTCCTCTTCCTTAGAGAATAACAGAATAACAGAGCCGGAAAGATTTTTTCGAGGTCTTCTACAATCTCACGGAGTTTTTATAATATTGCATCAGTTCCTTGAGGCTGGTGGGGTCCCAAGGTCTTCTGCCAAATGAGAAAAAAACAACAACTTTAACTTGGTTTTCCTAAACGCATCTCTAAACTGCAAAGACTTGTAAAGTTTGCTCACTCTTTCTTGAACTTCTAGGATTGCATTGGCTTTTTTGGCTGTCGCCGCACATTGCTGGCTCATATTTAAGGGATTGTCCACTAGAACTCCCAGATCCCAGGTTTCATCTAATCTGTCCCTTGTAGTTTTCAGGCAAATCCTGGCTTGAGTTCCTTAAGAGTTTGTGGCTTCATTCAAATGCAGATCCTGGCTTTGGATGTTCTGCTCTTTAATGACTTGTGAATGCTTTTCTATTTTAATATTTCTGTGATGCCAGTGCAAGCCGCTTTGAGGATTCAGCTCAAAAGAGTCTGGCATACATTTTTAAATACCTCTGCAGATAGCCCAGAGGATCACACCCTGGTTGCTCTCTTCTGTTTCCCCTGCAGGTGTAAATGTAATCTCCATGCCAACCAGTGCATTTTCAAGGAAGGAAGTCTCCAGTGTGAATGTGAACATAACACAACGGGACAGGACTGTGGCAGATGCAAGAAGAATTTTCGGAGCAAATCCTGGAGAGCTGGATCCTACCTTCCCCGTCCCAACGGTTCTCCTAACGTGTGTAAGTATGGCAGGCAAGACAGCTGTGAGTTGAAGCCCGCCCCCAGAAGGAGAAGCATCATCTCCTTGAGATGTAGCATCTTCTCAACTACCAGTTCCATGGGAAGCCTGCAGAGATGGAGATAGGGAAGGAACATCGTGGATAAATCAAAGTAGAGAAGTCTAGAACAGGACTTGTCTGAAAATGGTCCATTGAAACCATCAGCAGAAAGAATGGTTAGTCAATTCCATGTTGCGTCAATTTCCATTAATGCTCAAAACGGGGAATTAATCCTCGGAATTGTGGGATTCACCTCTCCCATTAGAACAGAGGTCTCCAAACGAAGCAATTTTAAGATTTGCGGACTTCAGCTCCCAACTTTAGCTTAGAACTTGTGGAGTTGGTCCACAAGTCTTAAAGCTGCAAGTTTGGAGACCCTTGCACTAGAAAAAAAAAATGAAGCAAGATTCCAAGATAGATCTGTTGCTAAGTTACCTCCCTGTCTGTTCCCAGTGAATTAGCTAGCAGGGTCCTCAAGAACAAGGACCTACTCTTCAATAAACATAGGGATCCTGAGACACTTTCTCTACAACTGAATGGATGGATGGATGGATAGATGGAGTCAAATAACAGAGTTATTCCTTGGAGGTCTTCTAGTCCAACCCCCTACTCAAGTAGGAGACCCTATACCATTTCAGACAAATGTCTCTTTTTAAAAGCCTCCAGTGATGGAATACTCACAACTTCTGGAGGCAGGCTGTTCCACTGGTTAATTGTTCTCACTGTCAGAAAAGTTCTCCTTAGTTCTAGGTTGCTTCTCTCCTTGAATTGGACAAGAAAGCAACGGGTGGAAACTAATCAAGAAGAGGAGCAAATTGAGAACTGAGAACAATCAATCAGTGGAACGACTTACCTCCAGGAGTTGTGGATGCTCCATCACTGGAGGCTTTGAAGAAGAGATTGGACAACCGTTTGTCTGCAATGGTACAAGGTTTCCTGCCTGTGCAGGGGGTTGGACTAGAAGACCTCCAAGGTCTCTTCCAACTCTACTATTCTTAATAATCTCCATCCATTGTTTCTTGCCCTGCCTTCAGGTACGTTGGAGAATAGGTCGACCCCTCTTCTTTGTGGCAGCCCCTTAGAGGCAGTCTTTTAATTTATTTATTTTTTACATGTTTATGCCGCCCATCTGCCCTACAGGCTGACTCTGGGCGGCGTAATTAACATCCCGTTTGGCTTCCTTCCTATCCTTGTTGACCGTCTCCTTCTCTCTGCTCTTCTCTTCCAGGTGCAGCTCCAAATTTTGGCAGTAAGTAAAACAACACAATTTTATTTTAAAAAAAACAAAAACAAAGCCATCAACTGAAGTTGAAATGCCGAGATGCTTGCTAGCACGGTCCCAGCGGATGCTGTTTGATGGCACAAAGGAGCTCTTGTTTTTTTTTTTTTTCCATCCCTGGTTTTTTTTTTGCTCTCTGTTAACATCTGTCCAAGCATAAGTCTGCTTCTCTAATTGTGCCTCGTTTCCCTGCCTGTCAAACATCTCTCTTTTGAGTTCAGTCGGAAACCTCATTGTCTCTGTCATGCCGGTGTGTTCTTTTCTCCCCACGAGGTTTGTTAGTAAGGCGGCGAGGAAGGAAATAAAGCGTTTTTTTCGAAGAATGCCAGGGAGGAACGGAGGGCTTAAGAATCTTGCAGGCAGTAAATTAAACTCTTTGTAAATCGGAGGGATTGCTTGCGATGGCTGACGTCATCAGCCACTTTTGCTAGGCAGGAGGGGTGTGATTGTCCTCCCTAACAGGGAGGACAATTAACCGGTGGAACAGCTTGCCTCCAGAAGTTGTGGGTCCTTCCTCACGGGAGGTTTTCAAGAAGAGATTGGACAGCCATTTGTCTGGAGTAGGATAGGGTCTCCTGCTTGAGCAAGGGGCTGGACTAGAAGACCTCCCAGGTCCCTTCCAGCTCTACTCTGATTGATTGAAATGGTCTAGGGCAGGGGTAGGCCACCTTGGCTCTTTTATGACTCGTGGACTTCAACTCCCAGAATTCCTGAGCCAGCCATGCTGAGGGGAAAGGGAGAGTTTCCAAGCTGAGCTATGCCGGCTCAGGAATTCTGGGAGTTGAAGTCCACGAGTCATAAAAGAGCCAAGGTTGCCTACCCCTGGTCTAGGGTATCCTGCTTGAGCAGGGGGCTGGACTAGAAAACCTCCCAGGTCCCTTCCAGCTCTACTCTGATTCTGATACTTAGGAATGAATCTGCAGCAAGATGCGTCTAGTCCTCAATTTACATCCGTAATGAAGCCTGGCGACGGCGGCCGTAAATTGTGAAAATCGTAAGGCAGGTTCCATTGACTGAACTTTCTTTTATTGCTAGAGGTTTACGTTATCCAAATATTAGGGTGTTAATATTCTCCAGTCAATACTGCATAAGTGCCACTCTACTCAATTCATTATCCTCAGGATAACAGGGGGGAGATCTGAACACAGGCAGTCCTTGACTTGAAACGGTTCCTTTAGTGACCGTTCCAAGCTGGAAGAGCACTGGAAAAAGGGACTTGAGACCATTTTTCACGCTTAACGTCCGTTGCAGCCTCTCCAGGCTCATGTGATCGAAATTCAGACACTTGGCAACTGCTTCATATTTACGACGGTCGCAGAGTCCCGGGGGGGGAGTCACGCGATCCCCTTTTGCGACCAAGCCAAGTCAACGGGAAAGTGAGATTCATTTAATAACCATGTTCCTAACTTAACAACTCCAGCGGTTCTCTTAACAACTGGGGCAAGAAAAGTCGTAAGACACATAAACACACACATACAGCCCTTGCAGCAATTGAAAAGGACAGACACACAATCTCGGAGAGAGAGACACCGGGAATAAATTTGCAGAGCGGGGAATAAAATTCCCATCCGACCTCAGACCTAGATCTGACATTACTTAATTAAATGATTCGCAGAGGTTGTCTCAAAATCAGTCTTCTCAATTTGTGTCCTTCCTGGTGAAGAATTTGGCACGGATATAAAGCCTGTCATTCCTTGTGTTTTTTTTTTTTAAATGTACAGGTAGTCCTTGACCGCAAAGGAGCCCAAATTTTCTGTCGCTAAGCGAGACAGTCAAGTGAATTTTGTCCCATTTTACGTCTTTTCTTGACACGGTTGGTAAGTGAATCGCTGCCAATGTTAAGTTAGGAACACAGTCGTTAAATGAACCTGTCTTCCCCATTGACTTCGCTCGGCCCAAGGTCGCAAAAGGGGATCGCGTGATCCGGCAACAGTCATAAACACGAGCCAGTTGCCGAGCGTCTGAATGTCAATCACGTGACCGCGGGTTGTAAGTCTGAAAAACGGTCACAAATCCCTTATTTCCAGCACCGTCGTAACTTTGAACAGTCACCAAACAAACTGGGTTAAGTTGAGAGTGTTTCTCGTGCTTTTCTCCGCTCCTTTAAAAAAAAAACAGCAGCAAAGTTTTAACCGAGTTGATTTGAGGATGCATTTCCACTAACAAGGGTTTTTTTTTTTTAATTGGCTGCAGAAAATAATTTGATTGCTGGGGGAAAGGCAATGAAAGGGAAATAGATGTCTTCCATCACATTCTAAATTTTGTTTCGCTTCCAATGTGGCTTGCTGAAAAAAAGATCCGACTGACTAGGAGGCGGTGATACATTAAATCCTTAGTACCACCACATTAATTTGCAAATTACGTGGCTGGAGATTACACGGATGCGTAAGGCCCAGAGGAAAACCAATGTCGAGGCTGACAGTAACGGAGCGGTGTGAATATCTGAACGTTCCCATTGACTCAATGAAACTTTAATTTATCGGAGCTTTCAAACTAATTTGACAAATTGAGGAAGCCGTTCAATTTCTCTCCTCTCATCCGAGGCGCCCAAAGTGATTCAGGCCCATTTGGACGGGCGCCCAGGCTTATTTTGCGAGCATTTTAAGGGCTCAGTTTGAATCCCATCCCGTCTGATTTAGTCGGAATTGGATCCAATCGATCAGTTTTCCAAATCCATCTGAGACCGTTCGGATGGAACTGGGCTCAGTTAGGACGGGTAAAAGAGATTACCCAGTAAATTCAGATTTCTTTGATTAAATTCAAGACGCGATCCAAAGTTAGCAACACGGCTGTTAAATTAGTCTGGTTTCCCCAATGACTGATTGTTGGAAAGTCACAAAAGGGGGATCCTGTGACACACACACACACACACACACACCCCAGGGGACACTGCAACCATCCTAAATATGAGCCAATTGTCCAGCGGCCGAATTTTAATCACGTGATTGTGGCAGGGAGGCTGCGACGGTCGTAAGTGTGAAAAAACGGTCCTAAGTCGCTTTTTTCCGTGCCCTCGTCACTTTGAACGGTCACTAAACGAATTGTTATAAGTCAAGGACTACCTGTGGTGGATTAATAGATAGATGAATGGACTAACTTCCCAAGGCCGCAGCACCTGCTTGCATCTGTGAAGTCATTTAAGGTATTGGCATCTGATTTCTTTCCGGGTTTTTTCTCCGCCATCCTTATTTTTCTCTTGATAGCAAAGGAACAAGCCAGGCCAGTAACGAACCGTCAAATTGTCATTCTTGCAACTACAATTTCCGAAGCCACGATTAGTACCACCTATACAACGAAAAACTCTTGGGTGCCCACCACTCCCCTCCTTACAACACAGCGGCCAGGTGGGTGCTCACTGTAGTTAGTCCTACCCCTCCTAACTTGCTGAGATAGCCGTAGTTAGACCTAGCTCTGCGCTTCTCTTCCCAGCTTTGGCTTCCTGCTGCCTTGACGTACGTCGGTGACAGGTAAGGTAGGGAGATGCTCACCTCCCTGGCTTGCCTATTGTGTCTTCCCTCCTCGTAGGGGATAGATGGGGAGCCCGGGTAAAAAATCACACTGTTCACTGGCGCAGGGCTTCCCATTTGTCAGCGGGAAAGCTTGTGTGTTTGCCCAGCTAATTAATGAAGGGAAGATCATCAGTGGGACAGATCCCATTAATAACGGCCCCCACCTTTCCCTGCTGACTAGCAGGTGCACGATTCTCCGAAAAGGTCTTTATAAGCAATGGAAGAAAGATTAGATAGATAGATAGATAGATAGATAGATAGATAGATAGATAGATAGATAGATAGATAGATAGATAGATAGATAGATAGATAGATAGATAGATAGATGGATGGATGGATGGATGGATGGATGGATGGATGGATGGATGGATGGATGGATGGATAGATAGATAGAGAGATAGAGAGATATAGAGATAATATAGATGGATGGAGAGATAGAGAGAAATAGACAGATAGATCTAGAGAGAGAGAGATATATAACAGATATAGATGGATGGATAGAGAGTGAGATGGCTAGATAGATAGATAGATAGATAGATAGATAGATAGATAGATAGATAGATAGATAGATAGATAGATAGATAGATAGATAGATAGATAGATAGATAGATAGACAGACAGACAGACAGACAGACAGACAGACAGATCTAGATGATAGATAGATAGATAGATAGATAGATAGATAGATAGATAGATAGATAGATAGAGAGAGAGAGAGATAGAGAGAGAGAGAGAGAGAGAGAGAGAGAGAGAGAGAGAGAGTGGATGAGTGGATCGTGATCAGTTGGTCTTTTGATAACTGGAACTCTTGTGATTAGCCAAGGTCAAAAATGGTAGCAATTTTGAGAGCTTGCCTATCACCTGCTCACTAATTCCCAAAGGTGTCATCCAAAATAGATGGGACAAGTCTTCCCTGCTGTAATTCTTCTGAGTGATTGGGGACAAAAAAAATGTTCATCCAACTCACGCAATGACATCTGATGGTCAAATTGCTCTCCATCAGTATGTAGCATTCTGATTATTCAAAAAGGAGAGGAGAAAAGAAAGAAGAAGAAGCATAGACTTGGTTGAATACGGTATTTATAAAATCTGTTTCCCCCAGAGATGCCTTTTTCTGAAATAACACACACTAGATCAGGCTAGCAGCTGTTTTCCAAAGCTTCCGAAGGAAGGCAAAAATATAAAAACCAACACATAAATTACAGCTCAATCAATAAAATTAATCCTTAACTCTGTTTTCAACCAATCTCACCTCAACTTCGGTGGTTATAAAAACGGCCCCTGCCCATTAATCATCTGAAGTGGAATCGACTTATCTACCAGCTAAAGGAGTTACATCTTGCAAGACCCATTAAGTTGCAGGAATTGACTTCAATATTGCATGCAAATTAGTTTTGATAGATTATGTGCCATTGGGTTGATACTGTGTCTCAGTAACCACAGAGATAGATTTTCATCAGG